CATTCCTGAAATGAGCCTCTGGGTGTAGCGTGTGGTCCTTATTCAGAGGACTGAAGCAGTTCAGTTCAAAAGCACTACTGGAATTGTGGACTCTGGATTTGCTAATATCCAAAGACCTTTTTCAATAAGGTTTTCAGGATAATGCTGATTGGCTCCAAAGCAGTGTTTATGTGCTGTGAAAGCACGAAATAAACAAGTATACTTCAGAAGATGGCAAAGTGATGCTGTGGATTCTTCTGTTCATTCATTACACTTTCTTGTATGCAAATGACTGTTTCCTTGTAAGTTCATTCAAAATGCCACTGTTAACTGTATTATAAACATTTTTATTGTAAAGAAAAACCCATTTCTTTCTATTCCCAAGTTTTGTTAATAGTAAAGCACTGTCTTTGCAATTCAAGCTCATATTTAATTTACCTACATACTTAACTGATGTGAATTTGACTGATAAAGAATCTGGGGGTTTTCTCTCCTAGCAATGTCTGCATCCTAGAGAAGAGTGCCCTGAGAAGTATTGTGTCTGTTTCAGTCCAGAGTGCAGGTGAACTATAGGAGGTTTCATTTGATTAATTTTTAACTTGGTACTGTGAAGACCTGAAATCTCAAGGACTGAAGACTTGTAAATATTTACATTTTAGACTACAGGCTGAGTTTTTGACTACAAAAATAATTGAAGACTTTGGTATAATCAGCATTTCCCTGTACTTCTCAAATACACAGGGAAGTGTGAAATCAATCTCTATAAATCCTGCTTCTGGTCACTAGCAGACACCAGTCTGCTCCCTAAAGCCTGCACAGTTTTAAGTCATTGATCAGAGTAGTTCTAGACGTGTTACCAGCTGGAATTAAGATTATTTATTAACTCAAGAGGGTGTCAATGATATTTTGCTAATACTGTGCTAGGAGCTATTTGGTATTGTTCTTGATTTTGTAGGCAGCAAAATTCACACAAATTAGGGAAAGTAAAACCTGTTTTAAGGTATGTGATAATAACATCAGTTTACTTGGTGTGTGTTTATTTACAGTATATGAGTTACTCAACACTTGCGTGCTATGAAATACTAAATGGAATGCTAGCAATAAACTGGTACCATATTGCCAGGACTGTGAAAATTGGTGTTTGAAAAGAGAATATATTGTAATATACCACTAGTTCTACGTGCTGTAATGTAGTTTCACAAAGACAAAATGTGGAAATGTTCTGTGGATGTATAAGATTACATTCAGCATTCTGGGTGATGCTTTCTGATGTAACATTAGTGTTGTAATACATCTGCTACATTTATTCTGATCCAAAATTCTTGCCTAATTGACAAAGATGTTTTTAAAGTTAAAAATCTAAGAGGTACTTGGTATTTTTAGGCATGGGAGAGCATTTCCTTTTTTTCTTGTTAGAATATATTTCTTTCTATTATTTTTGCGCACTTCATTTTGCTGTTAAGAGCTCTTCAAAATGTTCTCCATTTATAAATGTCAACTGGGCTTTACCATATGATATCCTATTTATATAAATGTGGGCAATAAAGCTTTTGCTTTATGGAAATGAGGATTTATAAGTGTCAAGTATGTTTTTGTTCCTCTGTAGCAACAACATTTAGTAAATTTTCCTGATAATTTCCATGTCCAGGTGAATGCAATTACTAACATACAGTGACTCATTTTCTTATGTAAATTTTCTTTACAACGTTTTTGATGTGACTATACTTACTTGTGTCAAATTCTATAATTTCATTATATTAAATTACATGCTCACCTTGATACTCATCAAGTCTTTGAAATGTTTTGGATTATGAATGTGTGCATATTCTGGCACAGTCTCACTATCAGTTTTGGCTGTTCTAATTAGTAACTGGGTTTTCAGGTCAGTAATTACACTATTTGCAAAACTTACAAAGCAAGAGGTATATGCTTTCTAATTATCAGGGTTTTTTCCTTGTTTTGCTTTTACAGTAGTAAGGCTATGATTTTGGGGGTGATTTGTTGTCTAACAAAGTATAGCTACAGGCACTTTATTAGCTGTAGTTACTTCTACGTTTACTGTTATCTGGTATCTGCTCAACTCTGCTAAAATGTTTTGACCCTGTGGTTCTCACTGATTACATTTCATTGCTTTCGTTTCATTATGTGGTCCAGCCTTGCCTCCCTTTGCTGATGAAGCACAAGCACTTTATCATCATATGCACAGGCTTCTTGCACTGCATGAGTTGTGCACATGAGCAAAGACATGCTCTGTAAAGAGCAGATCTGGTGAGGGTGAACAGGGTCAGCCAAGAGCCCAGCACCAAGGTGCCAAGTCCCAGAAGTCAGTCACAGGGATGGTGGGAGCATTCGTCTTCCAAATGACCTGAACTTCTCCAAGTCAGCTCTGATTACATCATTCACTTCCTCTTAGGTTCCCATCTTCTACCACCCTTATGTCCTCCCAGAGAAGCCACCAGCTCCTATTCACACCTTCCATTACTGGCCCTGGCTTTGGTGTTTATGATGCAGTTGCCTTGGTGACTCCCCGTTGGGTCAGCTACCCACAAAGCCACTACTTCTCATTTCATACCTGTGAGGTCAGGCAGTTTCTCACATGTTCATGGTTCACTGTGTGTGTGTGATGCCTGGGGGCTGATTGTTAGCAGGCCCTGTGGTTATGCCTTTCCCTTGGTATCTGGAATGGCCGGCAGTTTCTCACACTATGTGCTGGTAAATGCATATATGACCTGAACACTAGTATCAGTAATATATTAGAGTTCCTTGCATTACTGTGTGGTTAGTACAGCCACATAGCCAGAGTAGGCCATTTATGCCTACACTGTAGTGAAGCAGATGAATGAAAAGCACATAGGGGAATCTTTTAGTTGTGTACTGCTTGCCCAGCCACCTCTTACCACTGCAGCACTCCATGAACAGTAAGAGTCCTGACTGACAAAGGGAAATTAGCTTTTCCCACTTGGCCATGTTCGTACATTTACTCAGGAGACCTTGTATCCAAGGATGGTCACTGTGAAGTGCTAAAGCCATCTAGTGGCAGGCTGCTTCCTTAGGCCTGGGTAGTCTGGGTAGCTAACTACATAGCCTTTGGCAGACTATTACATGCATGCACAAATGCTGAGGTTTAAGCCCAGGCACCAAATAAGGCCCATGCAGCCACTCACTCACTCTTCCACCAGCAGGATGGGGAAGAGAACTGGAAGGTTAAAAGACAGAAAACTCATGGGTAGAGATAAAGACAGGTTAATAAGGAAAGTAAAAACCACACATGTAAGCAAAGCAAAACAAGGAATTAATTCACTGCTTCCCATGGGCATCTCCAGGACAGCAGGACCCCATTACACATAATAGTCACTTGACAAACACCACACCATCACTCCAGATGTTCTCCCTTTTCTCCTTCTTCCTCCCACTTTATATACCGAGCATGATGTCACATGGTATGGAATATCCCTTTGGTCAGTTTGGGTCACCTGTCCCAGCTGTGTTCCCTCCCCCTCTCCCATGCACCCCGAGGCTCCTCACCAGTGTGGCAGTACAGAAAACAGCAAAGGCCTTAGCTCTGTGTAAGCTCTGCTCAGCAACAGCAAAAACATCTCTGCATTATCAACCCTGTGTTCAGCACGAATCCAAAACATAGCCCCACTAGCCCTGTGAAGAAAGTTAACTCTACCCCAGCCCAAACCAGCACAACAAAATACCAATTTGCTAAAGCAGAATACTACAAAATAGTTCTAAGTGCTAGGAATACATGCATGCAGTTATTAAGAATGATGTTGTTTCCTGTACGAGACTGACTCCTACTTCAAAAGCCTTCCTCCTTCCCCGTGACAGTAACTGTCTTCTAGGTAGAGGGGGAAAAAAAAGATCTCCTGTTAACCCGATCATCCCCCCAGTTTGTAGTAAATTTGATAAGTAAGCGTTTAAGACAAATTCCTTGACTGAAAACAGAGATGTCTTTACATAAGCACAAAGCTAGCGATCTTAATAAGGTACTAAATCTAGCTACGAAACCTGAAACCTGTTTCTATGAAAGTTTAATGAACAGGGCTAAGGTTTCTTTAAAATATTTTGAAATATTTTATTAATTCACAGAGAGTATTTCCAGAGTTTGATTTTGCTTTGATTGTGTTACCTTAAGAGATGTAAGAATTCTGCTATAAGTAGCCTGGACAGTAACAAAATTGGAAACTATGTGGAAGTTCCAATGCTTAAAGTCACCATGACAAGATGGCTGAGTCCTGGTACTGCTGCTTAGACTCACACCAAGAATGAAGGCTGTGATGGGATGCCACCTGTGCTTGAAATCCCCAAGCCCAACTAGACATCTTCCAAGAGTTTAACATCAGTGCAAGAGGCAAGTACCTTGTACCCCACTTTGTTAAACTTAACTGTGTCAGGTGAAATAAGAGTCACCATATATCACTGAGAAGAGTTCTCTAACATGTAATACTGACACAAACAGTTAAAAGTAGCGAAATCTTTTTTATTGGCAGAGAGACCATTTTCAATATGGAAAATACACCCCCACGTTCGATAAATTTGTATCAAAGGAAATGAAATAAAAAATCTGTATATCAAAACCCCACTAAATGTCTTCAGGACAAGTTTCCTGTAAGTATCCTAGAACCTCTACCAAGAATGAAAGGATGCCTATAAAACTTCAGTTTCTGGCCAATCTAATCATGGAAGAGGACACTCATGGATGCAAAAGGGTTAAATATATACAGTGAGACATCCACAAGAGGGTTCTCCTTGCTGAATAAATACATTTGCAAAGAAAATACTCCTCACTGGCAATACACAGCACATGTAACAGCAGCTTTTTTTGGTATATTTGTTGAAATAAATGGAACTGTTACCATGCTGCCAGGTGAGAAACTAGGGTACTGTTGTTCCCTCTGGAAAAATCAAGTGTTCTTCCCAGTACCACATGGAAAGTATTCAGGGAATTCATGAATAATTTTTAGCGCTTCATTGTAGACTTCCAAATCTGAAAGAGGGCAAAGAAAAAGGTTATGATGCATAAGCTGAATTCCCCACATGTCAATGACAGCATTAAAGCAGTGCTTATTTGAAAACAATATACATTTTTAAAACAATCCAGTCTCCCTCAACCTTCTATTTTCCCCAAGGCAGCACCACGCATTGCTTGTTTTCTGGAGGGTTATTTTCAGGCCTGCTGGATGCACACTCTTACAAGGTCTAGGGCAAAGTGAGAACCATGCAGTCAGGAGTGGGGGAGTGATCAGACCATGGCAACGATCTAGACTTGAGTCACTCCCTACAGTTTAACTGTAAACTACTATATTTGGTACAGAACTTCTCTCATGTCACTCTCCTTTTCCACACCCTGCTCTATATCTGGCAGCTTGAAGAAACACCTTGTCTGTAAGGAAAGGTAATCAGGCTCTACCTTCTTACTTACTAGAGTTCAGAACTTAAAATGAATTTGTCATAATGTATATTCTTACTTACCAAATGGACTTTTATCTTCTCTGAACTGGACATATGACACACACATGATGTTTGCCTGATTTGTTACTCTTCCCACTACTTCAATAATTCCTGAGATCTCCTCTTCTAGCTAGAAAACACACCAAAGATGGAATGAGTAACACTAAATTAGGTGTTGCCTCTACTGCACAGCACTTCAGCTGGGAACTTTCCACAACAGATGGCTTGTTCATGACTGATTCTGTTCCATGTCAAACAATACAGTACTTCTGAATGGCCCTGTCCCAATCCTTCCCTCCCAAAAATGCAAGTCTTGAGCCACTCACAGATTTACAGGTTTTGTAACAGTCAATTCAGTACCAACACAAAAAACCCCAAAAACATATGAAGAAGCATCAGAGGGAAGATACCAGTTGATAAGTATATAAAACTGTGTCATTTAATCACTGAACAGACTAATCTAGGACACAGAGAGCAGAAAAATCCAGATTTTCATGCCCTGCGTTCAAACCTGAGTCAATTATAGAACTCTGTAAGAGCTAAGGAGGTATCACACATGCCAGAGAGCAGTTCCAGTGTTCCAGATTCAGGAGGTATAACTGGAAGTCAATCTGTCAGTAAGTGTTCAGAACATGAAGACACTGGCATTAACAAGCCTTTGGTTGAACAAGGGGAAAAAAAGGCTAAAAATTATATTTTGCTCCAAAATCATATAGCTTGAACATGTTTTTTTCTTTTTTTAAGACACAAATTTTAAGAGTGCAGTATTATTTCAGTAGTGTTTTACCACTACCTAACCCTTGCTTTTAACTTTCTAGTAAGTCTCCTGGAATAGATTCCCTCCCCATAATTTTGAGTTTCTCCATTGAAAGGAGGAACTACACACACGCAAACAAAGGAGCATATTAAAGGGGGGAAAAGTTAGCAAACATTTCGATTAGCAAATCCAGAAGTTTCCCCATTGACAGGCAAAGCAGAGAGATGAACCAGTTCCTCCTAGGGCAGAGGAACACAGATGGAAGTGCCCAGCACTGCACCTATGCATTTATGGAAGTCAATCATTTACACTGCTACGAAAAGTTGTGGAATCGTTGGTCAGACGCTAACATCTGAATTTTTTTAACTTAAGAAGAAGGTAAAAGACAATTAGAACTTGTAGGAAAGACATTTTCTTGCAGTTTGAAGTTAAGGTCAGCAATAAGACAAAACTCTTTGCCAGATTAAATTGCATTTTTCCTCGACAAGAAGAGACTTCTGTCTTGACAGTCTGAGAGTACCACGTGCAATTATTTCACATGGAAACTGCAAGACTTCTCAGTTTTTAACAACTTGTTCCGAGAAAAAGATGTGAAGATACACAACAGTCAAGCTACAGCATTTGCCATCACAATGAAAATGATCCTTTAACTACAACATTTGCTAGAGGAAAAAACATACCTAGAAGAGAATGCCAGGGTGTTACTCCTTCAGTGGCACATGACAACAAAGGAAGCAGTGCTTTTGTGCAGTAGTTCTAAGTATATCTTATTGCATTAATTCCTTGGTTTTTTTTTTTAAGAAAGACTGCTTCAAGCTATCTATGTTTACTGGAATTCTATGACAAGTGTTCTAAGAGGATATAGAAATGTCAGCTCAAGAGACTTTTGAGAATACCATATTCTCGGGGGATTTTAATTATAAAGGGAATTTTAAAAAGGGAGGAAAAAGTGAAATGACAATAAAGCTAATTATATTATGCAGTGGAATTTATTACACTGTAAACAACAAATAGAGTAAGAGAAAATTGCCAGACAGGGATGTGTCTGACAAAGAATTAGTTCTGTCTCTTAACACCAGCTGAAATTGATGAAGACCAAGGCAGTTCATGAGTAAGAAGACTGCAAGTTAGCTGAAAGGTGCAAGAAACAGAGGCAACGAAATACATGCGGAATAGGAAAACAAACAGAGATCTGTTTTTTTTCTTCACTGAAAACCCAAAATATGGAAGGCATGCATTCCTGTGGTGAGACACTGGAACACGCTGCCCAAGGAGACTGTGAATGCCCCAACCCTGGTAGTGCTCAAAGCCAGGATGGATGAAGCCTTGAGCAACCTGGTCTGGTGGGAGGTGTCCCTGCCCATGGCAGGCAGGGTGGGACTGGATAGTCTATAAGGTCCATTCCAATCCCTAAAATTCTATGATTCTGTGCATAGATCTCAGAAGAGACAAAAAACCTCTGGTATCCTCTAAGAGGCAACATCAATTATCTCCTAAGCATTCCTTTGACTTACAGGTTCACTCAGCTCCACAGTCGTGTGCCTTCCTACTCCATCCGAAAGCACAAAAAGCTTCCCAGTAGGATGAATCTACAAAAGAGAGACAACCCAGTAGGATGAATCTATCAAAGAAAAGCATCCAAATAAGGACGAATTGCTTCATTTTTTAATACTTTTTTTTAAAGAAAGACTGCTTCAAGCTATCTATGAAGTTTACTGGAATGCTATGACAAGTGTTCTAAGAGGACATAGAAACGTCAGCTCAAAAACCTTTCGAGAACCCCATTTTCTTGTTGGGTTTTCTTTTTAATTAATCAATTTTTTTTAAAAATGAGGAAAACGTGAAATTTCAATAAAGCCAATACATGCAGTGGGATATATTACACTGCAAACAACGAACAGAGTTAAGACATCCCAGTAGGATGAATCTACAGTAGAGAGACAATCCATTAGGATGAATCTACAAAAGAAAGGCATCCCAGTAAGGACAAATTGCTTCATTTTTCAATATTTTTTGTAAAGACTGCTTCAAGTTATCTATGAAGTTTACTGGAATGCTGTGACGAGTGTTCTAAGAGGACACAGAAATGTCAGCTCAAAAACCTTTTGAGAATACCATATTCTTGTTGAGGTTTTTACTAATTATAAAATCAATTTTTAAAAAAGGGAGGAAAAAGTGAAATTGCAATAAAGCAAATACAAGCAGTGGGATACATTACACTGCAAACAACAAACAGAGTTAAGACAACCCAGTAGGATGAATCTACAAAAGAAAGGCATCCCAGTATGGATGAATTGCTTAATTTTAAAATATATTGATTTTTTAAAAGACTGAATCAAGCCATGTATGAAGTTGACTGGAATGCTAAAAGGACATAGAAATGTCAGCTCAAAAACCTTTTGAGGCTACCATATTCCTGTTGGAGTTTTTTCTAATTATAAACTCAAATTTTTAAAAAGGGAGGAAAAAGTGAAATTACAATAAAGCAAATACAAGCAATGGGATACATTACACTGCAAACAACAAACAGAGTTAAGACAACCCAGTAGGATGAATCTACAAAAGAAAGGCATCCCAGTATGGATGAATTGCTTCATTTTAAAATATACTGATTTTTTTAAAAGACCGATTCAAGCTATCTATGAAGTGGAATGCTACGATTCAAGCTATCTATGAAGTTGACTGGAATGCTAAAAGGACATAGAAATGTCAGCTCAAAAACCTTTTGAGGCTACCATATTCTTGTTGGAGTTTTTTCTAATTCTAAAATCAATTTTTTAAAAAGGGAGGAAAAAGTGAAATTACAATAAAGCAAATACAAGCAGTGGGATACATTACACTGTAAACAACGAACAGAGTAAGAGAAAGAGATCCCAGTCCATCCCACCCCATCTACAAAACAGAGACACCACAGTAGGGTGAATCTACAGTAGAGAGACATCCCAGTGGGATGAATATACATAGAGAGACATCCCAGTAGGGTGAACCTACAGTAGAGAGACATTCCACTGGGATGAATATACAACAGAGAGACATTCCAGTGGGATGAATATCTACAGGAGAGAGCCATCCCCGCA